TTTAAATCGCACCTTCAATTAGCGCCGTTGGTTACTAGCCACTTGGCGGTATGGGCCCCTGTGCCTGCGGGAAGCGATGGTGTTAAAACCCCCAAAAAATTAAAGCACGTCGACAAAAACGGAATCGCCGACGTTTCCCCAATCGGGCCCTCGTGGAATCCTCGCGGCTTGTAAAACCGCCACAACGCGCCACCTCCGAAGGAATCATCTTTGGCCAAACTGCCGCAGGGCACTAGGATTAGCACAGTTGGCTACGTACGGCGTGAAAGAAGTTGAAAATACGTACAAAGACAAAGCTCCCCGGTATAGCCTTGGAAGACTATTGGGCAATTGCTGTAAGCGAGTAGTGCCTATGAAGGCAGGGACGGTACACGAGGGGGTGGGTGGCCAGCACCACGCCCGGCCGCCTTTGTCTCCCCAGCGGCGACGATTACAAACTGCACCAGGTACTAATTTGAGGCCGAGTCGACCTAAGGGAGGCCCATTACCGTTTGAGATAATTGCCACTGGTGTTGGCCGTGAGCGGGAATTGAACTCGGGTCCCCAGTTTCCTAGTGCAGCGCGCTAACCGCTACTGCGACCGCTCCCCACTACCTACTTGACATATACACACTAACACACGCGCATCCGCGGTAAACAATTCGGAACCCAAAATAAATATATTGGGACCCACCCCCCACGCACTTTGCATTTTGACGAACGCAAAAAAATTAAGGCATGCCGCCGGGCTGTACCGCGCACACCCGCGCCGGAGTTTACGAACGTGGATTTGTCACGATGTAGGCAGTGCACCTCGCGAGGGACGCCCATTTTAAACGCGGATTTGCAAATCACTCGCCTCTACGTTTGTACTGCTTGAGAGCAATTGCAAACAAAACAAGAGATTTCCCAAAGAAGGTTTATCGTACGTTTATCGGCGACGCTCTGGGCTCCATCTCGGATGAGAGATGCTCAGGGAGCTGTGGTAATTGCTTCCGTTCGCTCCGCCAAAAAACACAACACTCCGCGATTATAATGACGCTGTCTGCCCCCTCCCAGCTCCCCCCCCCACCCCCCGCCCGCCCCCGCCCGCCCCCCGCCCCCCCCCGCGTTAGCCACAGAATCTCACGGCGAGCAGCAGGCTGGCGAATGTGGCCTTCGCGGGCACTTAAACCGCTTCGCTGTGGCGTAGAACGTGATCGCGCAAAGAGAGGGGAAGGCATTGCTCTGATTCAAGAGCACCGTCACGTAGAGGGGAGCGGAAGAAATGAAATTGCCAGGAAGAGCACGTGCCCATCAAGAGACGCATTCCCCACAGAGCGAGACTTCTCTCTTTACCAACGACGGTGTCGTCTATTCAAATTCGTCACTCGTTAATTAATCTAATGTACCGGCTGTTTGGATTTTTGTTTAGGGTCTCATCCAGTTCCGCAGAACTGTTACGTCAGGTCGGTTGTGCGAGCGATGAGCTTTGTTCAGGCCCGTGACGGATCTGCCGGATTCCGAGGGGGGGGGAGGGCTGGTCGGTGAACGTCGCGGTGCTGCCTTGCTGTGCATGTTTTTTTTCCGCGACATTTTTTTTTTATCGCTTGCAGTTTCCCGCGAAGCGAGTGTTAACCGCATGGCCACTAATTAGCTTTTTTTTGCACATCCGAAAATTAATACCGTTTTTCAATTCGCACCGACAACAGAAAACTCACAGCGCGGGTCGCAAGAAAAAAAAATAACCGTGTTTAAAATTACCTTTCCAACTAAATAATGGAAAGCGGTGGGAGGCTGCCCCCCCTTCCTCCCCCCCATCCCCCTGCCCCCTCCGGCGACCGGGCTCGCAGCGCGACGAGCCCTTTTGACGACGCGCGGACTCGGGCTGCGGTTATTACCGCGCGATTTGCATCTCTCACTCGGCGGAGGAGAGCATCAGATTAGGGTTCTAAACCCCAACATGCAAAAGCCATTAAGGGCAGAGGGGGCGGGTTATTCTGCTCCAGCGGTCACCGCCAACAAAACAGCAAAGTCTCTGCTCAATTATCCTACCTCACCGACTTCGACCTTCGCGCAGGCTGCACAGAAAATGACAGCGCCCCCCCCCCTCCAGCCAGTTCCCCTCTCCCCTCGCGCAGCACAGCCCCTCCCCCCCGTCCTCCCATCCACCTCCCGCCCCCACCTGAGACAGGGACGTCTACTCACTGGGAGAGGAGTAACGCCCAACGTGGCGGGCGTTGGTAAATTCCGGCTGATTGTGTTTCTCGCACTGCCACGATATGTGCCAGCGTGCACGCCCAACAGGCACCGCACGCCTCACCGGTGCTCCGAACCTGTGTGCGACCATCAATCCCGGACGGTGCAGATTGAGAAAATCGAGCCAATATGCAAATTGAGTTGTGTGCAAATCTGTCCAGCGAGAGGTGGTGCAGTGGTTCATGCAGTGCGCCATGAACCCGGTGACCAGAGTTATTCTTCCCGGCAAATATTATCCTGGGCTATCGTTCACCAACCAGCAATTACGAGTGTGGTGAAGTACAGTCAAACAGCCTTCATGACCAACATGGAATTTGGGAGGTCTTCATCCAGCAGTGGAATCATAAAGGCTTTTATATTTTAACGTAGTATAGGGCATAGAAAACGTCATCCTTTGTTGTTCTCCTTTGTTGTTCTCCCCCTCCCCCCGATGGGCACCGTGCCGACTGAAGCCAATCACTGCAGCGGACGCACTGGCGACTGACGGCGACAATGACGACGATTATAATCTCCTTGCTGCAGCGGAAAACATCTAAAAAACGAGAAACGCTGCCGCCCCTCCACCTGTCTTCAAGCGCGCAAGCCGCACGAGCGTACCCGCACGCACACGCGTCCGTCCGTACGTGTGCGCGCACGCGCCAGCTCTTGGGACTCGCGGCTGGTGCGGAACGACTCGGGCCCGTGCCTCGCGGGAGACTCGCACGGCCAAGTCACAGCGCCCGTGCTCGCGCGGGCGGGCGGCATTTGTCCTTGCCGAGGCACGCCTCCTAATGCAAGCGGACACCTCCCATTACGGCCACGGTGCCCGGCTCCGGCACGGTTAGTTTTTTCCAGATTTTCCAGAGCTGCGATCTTCGCCGCCCCGTCTCTGACCGCCGCCATCGCCTGTAGTTAATCTTATGAAGCCCAAAGAGGGCTGCGGCTTTTGGCCACTTAGGTTTATGTTTTGTAATAAACAAGTTTTAGAGGCTCTGTTGGTCCCCGAGTTTATGGAACAACCAGCACACAAGCCTCACATAAAGCTGCTCGCGCTCAAACAGCCAGTAAATTTAACAAAAGATTCCATAAATCTATGCCTTAACAATCCGATGCACAGCGTGCTTTGACAAGCTCTGGTGGAATTGTGGCAGCTGACTGAAAGATTAAAATATGAACAGTACTTTTTGGGGGGGGGGGAAACCACTTACCTATTCTAGACTTCAACAGAAACACAACAAAAGGCGACCACGAGGATTAAGAAAATATTTTTAAAAGAAGACCCTCGACTGACGTGTGCCGCTAGCTCAGATAACCAAGAAACGTCTCGAGCTGTGCGGGGACTGGGACAATTGATGCCACCGACGCCGCCGTGGCACGGCGCGCTGGCTCAGACGCAGCGGCAAGCAGCGAGACGACGTCACGATGAGAGCGCTGCTCCTCGAAGCAGAACACGCTCGCTCGAGAAAAGACCCAGCGGATGTCACCCATCGAGACGCCCTCCCCCCTCCCCCCCATGGCCTGCGTGGCCGGATGAACCAGGTGATCATTCCATCCCTCGCAGGCCCAGGCCGACCAAAGCCGCGTCACCGACGGAGGGGCTGCCAGCTGACGAGCGGCATGCGAGTCTCTGCCGCCCCCCACAATCGTAGAGAATGATCGTTCAAAAAGGCGAGAGGGTGCGATGCCACCACCGGCAGGGCGCGTGGTGGGGCTGGCACGCTCGGTGCACCCTGCCCCTGGTCGCGTCAGCCTGCCACGTGACCCGCTCGTGTCACGCTTACTTGCGCATTCTTATTTTTGGATGTTGATATTCCAAATAAATAAACTAATTAAATTTACTTACGAAAAATATTTCATTTAGTAAAGAATATCAGAGTACGTTTTTTTTTGCATTCTGACCACAAGCATTGTGGTTAATACAGACATGATTCCTTGTAAAAGGTTTCAGATTAGTGTTTTAACATCTTAACACCTATTTTGTTGCCAGAAAAAAAGGGGAAAACCTATTCTCAAAGAATATCTATTTTTTATACCCGACGCCTACGCCTACACCCCGCCCAGCCGACAGGGTGTCTGACTACCGATGGCTGCTGCGATGGCTGCACGAGCCGGCGCCTTCCCCCCCTGACCAGGCCGGGCCACGGCACGAGCCGAGCGACAGCCGCTGCGGGGAGGTCAAGCGTGCTCGGGAGCCGACTTAAAAAAAAACGGTGCTGACCGACGCGACTCAAATGTCGAGACCAAACAGTACGATTCCCGTCCAGCCGGAGCCCTCGCGCGGCAGAGGTCGCAAACGGGTTTTGATTCCTTACCCGTACCCGGCCGCACCAGGGTCGAAAACGGGTACCCGTACCTTACCCGATACCCGGCTACCCATACCCGGCCGAGTATCGGGTAGGGTACGGGTACGGGTACCTGATTGCCATGTTGCAGGCGCGGGTGGGTTGATTCTAGGAACTTGAATTGTGAGAAGAGACAAGACGTTGGGAAATGAGTGACAAACGGTTACTCACCAGTGACTCACGGCCTACCTGTACCCGTACCCGGCTGGGTACGGGTAGCCGGGTATCGGGTAGGGTACGGGTATTGGGTACCCGGTTGCGACCTCTGTCGCGCGGCCGGCATGGTGACCGAAGTGGAACAAATAAATCGCCGACTTTTTTCCCCCCTGAGCCCGACACGCCCTGCGCTTCATGCACTCGCTTCCACACCGCCACCGGCTCTTCACCGTTCCGCGTAACTCCGCGGATTTTTGCGCGGTACGAGACGCAAGCGCGCCCTGCCCGTGCCGTCGGGGGCCTCACCTTGTAGAGGCGCAGGCTGGCCTCGTGCCGCTGGCCCGTCACGTGCAGCCCCAGCTTCTCCAGGCTGTTGGTGTAGTAGTCGCAGGCATTGCACTTGAGCTGCACGGGGCTGCCGAGCGCCGCGCACTTGAGCCGCCACTGGTTGGCGTGGCCGCCCTCGCGGAGGTGCGCCACCAGCTGGTACTTAGCCACGTGCTTGTCGGTCTTGCAGTGCAGCTGGAAGTTGGCGCGCAGCGGCGTGCTGTACTGGCACAGGCGGCAGGCGTGGGCGCCGTCGCCGGCGGTGCCCTTCCACTCCTCCTCGGGCAGGCGGCGCTCGGCCGAGGCATGTGCCGCCAGCGCCTCGAGGCCGTCGGTGCTGAAGGCGTTGCACACGCCGCACAGGAACAGCTTCAGCGCCGGGTTGTCGGCGCCCGATGGCTCCCCACCACTGGCGGCGCCGCCCAGCAGCGCGGCGCTCGTGCCGTCGTCGGCGAGGAGCCGCGGCCCCGCCAGCCTCATGTCCAACGGCAGTTCCCCGCCTGCGGGGCGCCGAGGCGAGACGCGCGCGAGGTTAGGCCGCGGTCAAATTTCCTCGAGGGCCGGAGGTCGACCCGCGCGGTCGGTCGCGGCCGCGCCCCCCACCCCCCCCCAACGGCACGCCGGTCCAAGCGTGCTCAAAAAGTGCATCGCCGCTCGCGTTCAAATTCTCCGAGAAGCTAACGTCGGAACAACGTGGAGCGCCTTTTAAAAAATGGACTAATATTTATCACGTAGCTCTTGGTATTGAATGTCCGGAATGAAAAAAATGCCAGCAGGTGAAGGTTAGTGCATAATCAATGCCTCAACACAGGGGCAAGCATGTGCGAGTTAGCACCAACACAATTTGAACACAATCGAATTAGCAAATGGCAGTAATTGCTGCAAGGACAAGGCAATCGGGGCCCTAATTCGCGTAGCGCGTCCCCCCGCCCCCCCGTCGCTTTCTCCACACGTCTGCCAGCAGCCCCCCCACCCCCCCCTTCCCGCCGCCCCCCAAAGCCGGCAACGTCAGACAAAATAAGTAAATAACGGAATGTACAAGCCTCGAGGCGGTAAGAGAATTCAAGGCGAGTTTTTTTGGAAAATTCGCAAGTCCTTATGTAAAGCGTTAGAAAGGGCCGCTTTGATGGGAGGCGTGGGAAGCTTCCCCTAGGTATGGCGTGGCCGCCGCTCGGAACACAAACAGCCACAGAGACTGTCGGCTTTCAGGAGCTGCCACAGAAGGCGGTTTTAAGTCTCCGCTGCCAAGCCGAGCCATGGGAGTGGAGTGCAATGCGACTGCATGTGGTTTCATAGCGAATCACTGTAATTTTTCTTCACAGAAATACCACCGTAAACAAGAGCCCTTGCAGATTTAGCACCTGCGGCAAATGGGCGGGTGAGGCGGGAGGGGCAGGGGCGGAAGGGCGGTCGAGTCTCATGAAAGGCGGGAAAAAAACAAAAAAATGCTTGAGAATGGTTTCAGCGAATTCCATGAATATGAAGAACATATATAGGGCATGCATTGTGTGCGTGTGTGGGTACACATGGAGATATTGCCAGCGGGAGGGGGGGCATGCAGGATGGTTGAAAAGTTGACAAAATCAAGAGTTACGAGCAAAAAAAGATCGTCGTCGTGTGTAAACTGAACTTTTCAAGAGTAAGTGGAGGGATTTTGCCACGCGACCAGCAGCTCCTGGCAAAACACGGGCGTCTGGAAGGAATCCCCAACCTGGGTTGTCGTGAATATCTTTGCATTTTTTGCTTTGACAAAATCGACTTGACTCATGATTATCGCATAACTTACAATCCTTAGCTAATTCGCTGCTGTGGATGATGGGCCTCCTCACACTGCGTCGGTCATGAGGGTCGCTTGATCATGCTTCGCCACGTTGGTCAGTTCGGTTTTGCGACGGAGGATGGCCCAGGGGAATGGTTCTGACATATCACTCGCCATGGGATATCAGCCCTGGCTGGGCATCAAACTCGGGTCTCTGCCACCACTCAGCCCGAACCTGCAAATGCTCATAATTATTTATTTACAGCTCCGCAGATGTAATGGTTGAACCATCGCCGCTTAGGAGAAACGTGTGTGTGTGTGCGCGCTCCGCAACCACAGTTTTCCTTTTGCGACCAAGCCAGATTTAACAAAATTGGCCAAACTACCCAAGCGGCGCCGCGGCCCCTCTCACTTCTGCTCGTTTACGTGTTAAGTTCGAGGATGAGGTTCCACGTGTTTAGTGGGGGGGGGGGGGGGGGGGGGGGGGGGGGGGGGGGGGTGGGGGAGCGTGTGAACGGAGGGAGGGGGGTGAAGGGAGGCCGGGGTGTTTGGTTCGTGGACGGTGCTCGCGACGCCGTCCGTACCCAGCGTGGGCGCGAGGGCGCCACCCGTCGAGTTGGGGTCGATCTGGAAGCCGGAGAGCAGCAGCTGCTGTTGCTGCGCATCGCTCAGCCCCCCCTCCAGCTTGAGGCGCTCGGGGACGCCGGCCCCGTGCGACGCCGCCGCCACCGCCGCCGCCAGGTAGTACTGGTAGAGCTCCGCCTCAGTGGGTGTGCTCAGCATGCCGCCCGCCAGCCCCGCCAGCCCCAGCTGCTGCAGCCCGTGCTGCTGCTGTTGCTGCTGCTGTTGCTGCTGGTGGTGGTGGTGGTGCTGCAGCGTCTTCATGCTCTGCTGCAGCAGCAGCAGGTTGTGCGCGTGCTTCTCGCTCGTCATGTGGATGCGGAGGTTGCGCGCCACGTTTGTCTCGTAGTCGCACACCTCGCAGCGCCACACGGGCTTCTGCTGCTGCGGCCGGGCCTTGGGTGCCGCCGCCGCCGCCACCGCCGACGGGGGGCCCGCGCCGATCCCGTTGTTGCCGCCCCCTCCGCCGCCTCCGCCGCCGACGCCCAGGCCGAGGCCCAGGCCGCCCGGCGCCGTGCTCGGCAGGTGGTGCCCGTACGCGGCCTGGTCGGCCGAGACGGGCCCGCCGTTCTGCAAGCTCTGCATGTTGTTGAGGTGCTTGTCGGACTGCATGTGGATGCTCAGGTTGCCCTTGGTGGTGGTGGAGTAGTTGCAGACGTCGCAGCGGAAGGGCTTGTAGCCACACGTGTAGCTCTCGCCGCGCGCCAACCGCGGGTGCGCCTGCCCCGACGTGCAGAAGTTGCAAACGTCGCCCGGCTCGGGGTGCTTCTCCTTCATGTGGGCCTCTAGCGTCTGCTGGTACTTGTAGTGCCAGTTGCACTTGGGGCACTTGAGCGTCTTGCAGGAGTTGCGCGACTGCATGGCCGCCGACAGGTGTCCCCCGAGCGCAAGCGCCGTGTGGCTCAGGAGGAAGTCGCATTTCGGCGACTCGCGGTCGCTCTCTGGGGTGTAGTCGCCCTCCCTCGCCAGGCAGGGCGGTGTCGACCCCAGCATCCGGTGAGGCCGACACAGCGCCATCTCGACCGCCGTGGCCACCTCGCCCTGGTCGACGTCGGTGTCTCTCAGGGCGCCGTCGGGCAACCCGTCGGCCTTGCCGTCAGAGAAGTCGCCGCGCTTTTGAGCGGCGTATTCCGCGTTCAGCTCCGAGCTGCCCGCGGCGTTATCAGAGAGAATCGATAAGGAGTTAAACGAGGGACCCTTTGGAGAGGAGTTGAGCGCTTGAGGCAGGAAAGAAGTTTGAGAAATGCTTTGGTTTGTAAGACTCGAGAGTTCGTTGCTGCTCGCGCTGTCCCACAGCCCGAGGCGAGCGCCGTCGCCGCTGTCGTCGTCGCCGTCGTCCTCGTCAAACTCGTTGGCGTAGAGCTCGTCGCCGAATTCTTCTTCCTCCACGTCCGTGGGCTCGGACTTGATGGGGACTTTGGCTGCCGCCGCCGCGGGTCCGTCGGCGGGCTTCTCCTCGCCCTCCTCCCCGGCGACAGCATCGGCGCCGCCCAGCTGCCCCAGCGACGCCGAGGGAGCGGTCTGGCCCCGCGAGAATTTTACCAAACCCCCAAGGTTCATCAGAGCGTTCGACCCCCACTGCTGCTTCGCAGGAGGGGCGGTCTGCTCCGTCATCTTTGGATTGCACTTACCACTTCCCTTCGCCAAGCACTGGCCGGCCTGCAGGCCCTCCATGCCGGGCACGTGGACGCCGCTGAACACGCCATAAAAATTTGGTCTTGGACCTTCGAGGTTTGCCGTTGAGGTTATCGTCGCCTGTTGAAAGCTTGCAGTTTTTGGTTCTAGAAAGCTGATCAGGGGCTCCCTGTCCTTGCCTATGCCCTGGATGATGGCCGACACGTTCTTGCTGGCAAGCAGCCTCCGCTCCTCGTCGATGAGCGTCATTTGGTGGTCGTGGGCGGCGTGCGTCGCGAAGGAGCGCACGTAGCCGAAGGACAGCTTGCACAGGAAGCACATGAGGATGGGCTTCCGCTTGCCGTACAGGGCGCAGCCGTCGAATTTGGTGAGGTCTACGGAGGTGGTGGGAACATCTTTGGCTGTGCAGGAGTTTTTGGCTGAGCCGTCGCTGTTGAGATACTCGTCCGCTTCGTCCTTGTGCCGGACGTCGAAGACGCGGAAGCTGTGCAGCACGGGGCCGAGCCCCGGCACCAGCACTGAGGTATTTGGGAACGTCGCCTGGTCCACGCTGAACCGCCGCGCCAGCGACGACGCGATGTGAAAGGTGCTCACAATCTGCGGGTGCGCCGAGTCTCTGGCCTTCGAGTTCACGTTTAAAGCTTGCTGGAACGCGCCCCCGGCGCCGCCGCCGCCGCCGCCGCCCTCCCCCCCCTTGCAGAGCTCCTTGTCCTTCTCGACGATATAGGCCGAACCGTCGGGGTGGTAGACGATGTCACCCGTCAGGTTCTCCACGTCGCTGTCGTCCTCGGCCTCGCTCACCTCGCTCTCCTCGTCGCGCAGCAGGGGGGGGAACGCGCCGGGGCAGTGGTGCTCCATGTACGACTGTAAACTCGGGAATGAGGTGGAGCATTGCTTACAGCGGATATCTTTGGCAGAGGAAACAAAGGTGGAAGAAGCAGCAGCGGCCGCGTCGGGTAGGGGCCCGGAGCCGTGGCAGGGCGCGGCGAGGCCGCGGAGCAGCGAGGGATCGCTCAGCCGCTGGGCCTCGCTGCCGGCGGCACGAGCCTCAGAGAGGGGGGAAGAGGAGGCGTCCAGGGCTTCGGCGGCGAGCACGGCCGTCTGCTCGTACAACAGCGAGGGAGCGGGCAGCCCATCCTCGTGCCCCGAGACGCTGGGGGAGTCACACGCTTCCATGGCAACGTGTTCCCGGGGATTTCATTTCATCCGGCTGATCAGGGACCTGCGGCACAAGGTGAGAATTAGGTTTAAGGGCCAGGAAACGCGATGCTTAAGATGCAATTTGCACATAGACACGCTAAGTTTTTGTGGGGTCTTTTTTTTATCGTACTTTTTTTTAGGGGGGGGGGCGGGGGGGGGTGGCGGAGCGCGGGGGCAGGGGGATAACGTTGCACAATTGTGTTGCAGTCCGACGCAAACGAAAGCTCCCATTGCAAATCGATGGACGATCCATCGCGACGCGACCAACCGGCGGCGGCGGCGGTGGCCGGCGGCCGGCTTCAATAGTAAAGGAAAACAAACGGCGGTCAATGTAAAATCAATGCCGCGAGCAACGTTTCATCAAAAGGGACGATTTAACTTAGAGCAGTGGCGCAAAAAAAAACTTCACCGATCAATCGTGACTAAATTGTGTCGTGTCCGTGCGCTTTTGGCAGAGGTTCTGTAACATTCGTGTTTTCAAAAGAGGAAAAGAGAAAAAAAACGCTACAAGCATTACAGTGCGCAGTACTTTCACAGCAATTACCGCTCACGGGAGACGGTGCAGGATCAATGCAGACAATTAGCTCTCCGAACCCCTACATTCAGTTTCGGGCGCCCATTAACTGAAGTGCATACGGGAAGCCAGGCTAACGGCCTTCAGAAACAATTTTCAGTTTGTTTACCAGCATCCTATTGGTCCCCGATGAATATGCAATCACGGTGAGGAGCCCATCAAGCGCGCTCCGCTGCCGCCGCCGCCGCCAAGATGCGCGCAAAGGATGCCTGAAGGTCAGACCATTACTCCCTCGTCCGAGCATTACATGCCAGGCAGGCTGGAAGGTTGACCGCATCATCAGTATGAATGAATATTTAACATTTAACCCGACACATGGCCCCCGTATGCAAGCAATCCCCCAACAAGCCATGAGGAAGTGCCTGCTCGGTATAAACACCGACAAAGACAAACATCTCCTGCCCCCACCCCCCGCGTGGCCTACTGCTGGGGAAAGGGCGGTTAGCGAGCGCCTATAATGGCCGGCTCGGCACACGGTAGGCCGTTGTCATCAGCGCCACGCTCGGCTGCTTTAGTCTCCCCACGTTCTGATTTCTACGCATCAAACCGGGACATCTTTTAAGGCCAAGTCAACCTAGGACAGACCCAAGACCAGTCCGGATATTCGCCACTGATGTTAGCTGTGGCCAGGATTCGAGTTCAAATGAGTGCAGTGCTCTAACCACGATACTACCACTCCCTATATAACCACACACACGCATGCATGTCATAAATATCCACCCTAAATGATACACTGAAATAAACCACTTATTACAAATGTGCAGCTCTTTGTCAATCCATCACTGGATAGAGGCCTTCTCAACACCACATCGGCGCGTGGCGGTTGTTTGACCGTACTTCACCACTCGGTGCGAATTGTTTATGGAGGTGCCCAGGGTGAGATCAGATATCACTCGACGTTAGCCATGGCCCGGAAACAAACTCGGGTCACTGGGTTCACGGTGTAACACAGCAACTATTGCACCACCACGCCTAATTAGACAATGAATATCCCTACCTAACAGGTATGCAAATGCACAGTTATTTCCCGGGAGAGTGACGGTGCAGTGGCTTGCACACCACGCTTTCAAAGCCCAGTGACCGAGTTGGATTCCCAGCCACAGGTAAACATCAGCGGCACAGGGAGGAGCGTCTCCGTCCCACCGCCACCCTCGCCAAGCCGCGCTGACCAGCGTGGTGAAGTGTACTCCTCTCGCAACCCTCATAAGCTGACACGGCTTGGGAAAGCCTCCGTCTAAAGTCAATTGAATTTTTTTTTCTAAATTATGATTTTTAAAATGTACAAACACGCACAGTAAAATCGCTCGTTTAAGGCGGGTGATGCGTTCCTTGGAAGTGCCTCATTAAGCGAAGAGAGTGTTCAAAGCGAAGAATTACTGTACAAGACCGAATCACATTTGCACTATAAAAATCTGCCTGCAGTCCATGCCACGGAGGGACAAAGCACTGAGATGAGGGCACAACGACGCCGTGCAATGTTTCGTTCCTCGTACCGCATCACTCTGCTGCTCAACCAGGCAGCTCGAGAAAGTAGTTCGTCATCGACCGCTCAGAGACCGCGTTACGACGAAGCGTGTTCCCGCGTCGTGCAAAAAGCGTTCCCGAATAAAAGAACCGTGCTGAAGCGTGAGAAAGCGTCAAGTGAGGACTTCTGTACGTAAAAATGTGCACCGACTCATAAGGAAAGAAGAGTTCAGAGTTCAGGGCTCCTGTCCTGGAGGCTTGTATGGAATGGGAAGGCTGAGATGAGGATGCACGAAGGGCGGCACTCGCGACTTTGGCGACGTTCTCTACGGTTGAGAACCCCCTCACAGTTCCCCTCGCTCACATCCCGCACCTCAAATATCAACCACCCCCGAGCCCGACTCTACCCCAATACCACCTGTAGCACAGACACAGATCCCCTTCCCGTGCAGCTGCACGGACGGCTGTTACTGTCAGCGAGCCACTAGCGAGGCTGGCACAGCGACGAAAGGGTGGCCGCGTGAGCCATCGCCACGCCTGGCCAATGTTTTTCCTGCCGAGTGCCGATGTCTGCACGTTTGCACCGGCTACTCGTTCGAGGCCCAAGTCGATCTAGCTAGCGGAGGCCCAGCACCGGCACAGGTGAGTCGTCACTGATGCTAGCCGTGGCCGCGAATTGAACTCGCATTGCTGGCATCGTAGAGCAGAGCGCTAGCCACGCAACTGCTCCCCACGAAGACAAAGATCCCCCATATAGCCTGAACAGACTGTTGGGGCAAGTGCTGTTAGCGAGCACCTATGAAGGCTGGAACGGCACACGAGGGGGTGGGTGGCCAGCACCACGCCTGGCTGCCTTTGTCTCCCTAGTGGAGATGTCTATACACCATATTAGGTACTCATTTGAGGCTGAGTCGACCTAGAGGAGGCCCAGGACCGGTTCAGATAATCGTCACTGGTGTTCGCCATGAGTGGGAATCGAACTCGGGTCGCCAGGTTTGTAGCATAGCGAGCTAACAGCTACACTGCCGCTCCCCATACACACACACACGCGCGGGTACATGCACATGCATACATATGCGATATCACATGCTAAATTTCAAAACACAACATGCAATTTTTACAACATTTGTTAAAATGCTATTTATTTTTTTCGATTTGTTTAAAATAAAAATTTTCATGTTATATATATGTTTTACATCACGTATTAACCACGTTCCAATTGTCATCGTTATGCCATGGAGGTGGATTTTATCATTTCAGTATAGTACAACACTGCCGAGGACAACATCTGCGCTGCTTTAGCGTCCCGCACGGATGGGCGAGCGTTGCGAGGCGTGCGCTGGCAATCGTGAGGAGTTTCCGGCTTCCACGAAGCCGTGCGCGCACTGCTCCAATCGTAGTTTACACCTTCGCCAGCACATAAACGCCAGGTGTGATTGTCACAATGAAAAATAATACAAATTAATAGTAATAATAATAAAATGTTACATGCTTGCAGCACGCACAACGATGCAGAAATGCGCAAACGCGGCCTTTGCTAGAGCCGATGGAGAGGGCGGCGACGCTGTTCGGAGACGCACCACGCTTGTCGAAAAGAGAGCCGGGCGCTGGGACAGATGGGGAACGACGGAGAGGCGCCCCATAGACAACCAAGCGCCATTCCTCGGGCTCACGTCGTTTGCGTGGGAGTCGGTTATTTCGCTGTTCGTGAAAATGACACAAGGACGCAAAGGTTACCTTGCCGGTGGAGTGAGCAAAAGTGTACAAAAGTTAGAAATATAGCACGAATAAATAATGCGAACAAGATGGAGAAAATTTTATTTTAAATTATTTTTAACAGAATTGTGACAATCTAATTGCATGTATGGGTTGGGTGTGAACTGCTCCAAGCCTAGCAAAGGGACCACCATAGCAACACCAGGGTGGCACCACGGCACAGCAATCGAGTGTGCAGGCGGTGCAACTGCACCAAGGTCCTCAGACCGAAGGGGCCCAGGCACCGAGCTATGAAGAGGAGTTGAGGGGGCGTGGGGAGGAAATTGGCCAGGTGTAGGCCCCATTTAATCCTTGCACCAGGGCTCATGCCAACCACACCATGCCACTGCATGTTGGCACCACAGGGGCGTCACTGTGGCCGCCGTGCTCGTTGAGTTTTTCGCAGCAGCAGATTTCAATACACGAGCGAGGGAATAAATCCAGCGCTGCCTGTTAGAGCCACTAACCAACCATGAAGCTCAGGGCTTCATAAAAGAGCCAATTATAACACAAGGAAAAGGGGAGGGCCCAAGACTGGCTCTGTCTTTGAACTTTCCAAGCGGCTGCTTTGGAAGCCGGGCTAAGCAGTGGGGAGGGATTAGGGGATCTGTTGCTCCGAAGTTCTGGTTGCTCTCACCTTTGTCTGACACACTTTTGCAAAACAGCCGATTCACCTGGCATGCGTTTAACGACCTCCAATCTGCACCAAGGCGCTATGCCGACGCAGGCCAAATTAACCCTGCCCTGCCCGCCTGCCTCTTCATTCAGAGCCCCCCCCCCCCCACCCCTCTGGGCAAAACTCACAGCCTTGGTAGGGGTAGGTGAGTGGGGTGTGGGTGGGGTGGTCTGCGACTGAAAAGGGGGGCGCAAGTGACGCATTAACTAATGGGCAATTCACTTAACACAATTTTAATTTATGACAGACGCTGACGCAGTGAATATACACAGGACGCTTATGCATATATTCATTGGGTGCACATACATCAAACATATCGTGACTGGGGGACTCATCATTGCTGCTGCTGCCAGCCAGAGCCCAAACAAAACCCCACCCCCCACGGGAGCTTTTATGCTGCTGAGTGGCAGTGCCCTGGTTGGATTCCCTCCTGGGGTCTGGACAGATGACATCGCCATGGAAGGATGGTATAATCGTTATGGGTACGCGTGGTTATAGAGATATGAAATAAGAACGCACTACTATTAAGGCCCAGAGAGCGAGCAGGAGAGAG